AAATGCATGCAGTCAGTTGGGATAAAAGAATTATTTGCGTACTCTTAAACAAGGGATTAAACAGGTAGACAGATAGATAGATAAGCCAAGAGCATGAGCATGAGAAATAGGCCACTGTGTAGATTTTGGAAAATCTAATGACATGCCTTTGTATGAAAATCCCAGAGGTAAAACAACAGTCTGGAAAGGTGTCCTTCTGGCAAAAATCTCATGAGCTATATTGATCAATCAATATACTCCCCTCAGTGTACAGCACTGGCTAGGAGATAGGCTTCACCTCAGCAGGCAATAAGCGAACACTGTGGTGCTTCTGGATGTAGAGATCAGTGTCTACATGCATGGGACTTGTAGTCACTCAGAGAAGGAGCAGGCCCTGCCACATAACAGCCCAGAATCCATGAGCAAAACAGCTCACTGACTCATGGGGAGAGTGGCAAGTCTAGCTCACTCACTGGGTCACTTATAGAGGATGCATACTACCTTTTCAAATGAATTTTAATCCAGAGACTTAAATGTTTCCAGATGAGGTGGCCAGTTTTTGCTCTCCCTAATTTAACAGGAAATGAATGATTAGAACCTTTTTTCTCTAGGATTTTAATTCTAAGAAGGATGGCATATAATAATATGTATTCTTCATACAATTAGCTATTGGATCGTAAGTAAAATCTTAAGCAGATAAGTCTGTAGATAATGTCAGTACCTAATGAGGCTATGAAAAATATTAATATATTTATTTTCTGAAGTATTTTTGTCACATAGGGACAGTAACTAGTAAGTAGTAACTAGACTCTTATCTCAGCTGTGATGTGCTTGGAGTAATAAGCATCGCACCTTTCCTACACAGGTGAAAGAATAAAAAACATAACATATACAAACAGAGTGTATAAATATATATAAACACAGAGTGTGCAGTGCAAATTGCAGGAACCGTGTAGAGCTCCAGTTTCAAGAGCTTAAATATTATCAGAAAGGGACATGTCTCATTCGATCTCATTTTCCTTTGCAGAATTATTAGAATAATAACAAAAATGTGGAGTCTTGTTTTACTGAAGCACTGTTTTATGTGAAAAAAAGATCGTGGTCTAATTCATTTTCATGAACTTCCCTGATTCTGTTTTTCCAAAGCAGGCACCTTCTGAAAGCTACACATTGCCAGCCCAAAACATCACAGACGTCTTTTGAATTCTTTTGAATATTTGTTTTAATCTGGTTGTTTTTATTAACAATCAAGAAAAAAAAAATTGGGAAAACCTTCTTTCCAAATTTATTTCATGCCTAAGCAGTATATATCCAACACTGTGGTATATTAACATGTATGCTCATTCATTCTCATACACTTTTCTGTTTGAATTGTATTAGTTGAAACAAATAAGTCAATGAGACCCTCACCCAGATCGGTCCTATTTTCCTCTCACAGATTTGGAGAGAAAATCAGGGAGCTCATCGCTGGGATATACAGAGATGCCTCACTTCAGGAGCTGTACTGTCTGCATAACAGTGCAGATTTTTCTGCACAGACATTTACTGTTTTCCTAAACTATTTAAAGTTACACAAACAGCCATCCAGGCAAAATAGAAGTGACACTGGGATGGCAGCAAGAACTGGGGGAGATGGATATGGAACATAATGTAGCATTTTCACTAAAAGCTCGCTTATCGACCTAGGGCTCAAGAATCATTTGAATAGATAAAACAGTGAAGAAAAAAGAAAGATATTCTGATGACTTGCTAAGTAGTTTAGCCAGATAACTATATACCTAAAATTGAGAGACACATCTAACCTGCAGTACTTGCACCCTTCTGTTTAATGCAGCTAACGAAGGAATGGCTTTTTTATAGTTACCTGATTTTTTTAACTTCATTGTTTCAGTTACTGAGCCAGTCTAACACACAGCAGTGTGATTATTCAACTGCACTCAAACAGTGCAACAGAGAAAAGAACCGAACCTCATCCATCATTCCGGGTAAGCTTGGTCAGATCGGCTTCTCTGGGTGGCAAAATGTTTATGAACTGCGCATGTCAAACCTTTAATCTTTCCTCAGCAAGAAGTGAATGACCTCTGCAATGGTGTGGAGCAATGTTCTGTACAGTATTTTTAATGAAGAAATTATGTAAGTCCTGCACATAGGAAAACAAAATAGATGGCTGGAAAACACTTCATCTTGATTGATGGAGCTTAGTGCTGTCATTACTATCAGCTGTGTGAGATAATGGCTATAATATATGAGTCGTTGCAATATACCTACTAGTTCATGACTTTTTTTTTTTTTTTTTTTTACAGTGGAAAGATCTAGAGTGGGTATCTCATCACTGTCTGGTGAAGGGACAGATTACATCAATGCTTCCTATATTATGGTAAGTCAGCTAACTGTATTGGTGAATAACAAACTCCCACTGTGAGGCTGTTTCCAGAGCTGCCATGTGTCCAAGTTAGGGTGGCACAGCCCTAATTTTGAAAGCTCCTTTCTTCCACTATTCACCCTGCCTGAAAGAGTTACTCCCCCCAGAGAGTATTGTTACTGTTATTACTGGGTATAAATTTGGTTAAGTACATTGCATTTTAACAATCTGTAGAACCAGACATCCCATCATAAGTTTAAAAACTGGTGAAGCTAAATGCCGCCTATGGGAGGATCTTTTGGGGTGAACTAAAAGTGTTAACTAACAAGCTAGTTTTTAAGGCATGTACTGCCGTTTGCCTTCCTACCTGCACATCTTGCAGCGCTTTTGCAACTGGCACAGCCCAAGGCACCATAGCTCATCAGCTGTCCATTATCTTTTTGTTCCCTGGGGTTTATTCAACTCTTTTCCCCTCGGTAACTGAAAGGGAGGAGGAAATTCTTCCCGGGCATTCAGGAAAGATAGGAAAGCTCCCTGCAGTGCTGTGTATGCATGATCCTTCATCAGGTGCATTAGTGCACAGGAACTGCCTTTTGTGGTAAGAAGCTGATCTGGGACATCTGTACAAATTAAGAGACCACTTGGAATTCTTTTATTTGTTTCAGGTTGCCAGCTCCTCAGGAATTCTGGCTAATGTAGAACAATCACCATGTGCATGAGTTGATGTATTTTCATTTTGAGTTGGCTGTTCAAGTCTCCACTGATGTCTTTTGGGGTTTTATTTGATCAAATATTTTGAAGTTTTAAAAATCATCTCAGTGTAATTGACTTATTCTTTTCATCCAGAAAATATTTCAATGGAAGTTTGACATTCTTCTAATATTTGCAGGAAGCCAAAGAAGGTGCAAGTCTGCAATTTATTTTCTAGGCTTCTGGCTCTGTCCACAAGAAGCTTCCTTTAAATGTTCATAGTTGGGCATCATTTCTGAGTCTGTTGATTTTGTTTCACAGGGTTATTATCAAAGTAATGAATTCATTATTACCCAGCATCCCTTACTACACACTATCAAGGATTTCTGGAGAATGATATGGGACCATAATGCCCAGCTAATAGTCATGCTTCCTGATAGCCAGAATATGGTAAGTTTTGTGGCTGCTTGTTATGGGTTTATGTATGAATTTTATTAGTGTTGCCATTTTGAAATATGCAGGATATGAGAAAATATCTTGGATTTGGGAAAAATAATAATAATAACACTGTGTAAAATCCCTAAATCGTCTAGTGAAAATCTGGAGATCCCTGTCTGGTCAGATTGCAAATGGCATGAGAAAATATTGAATCATTCCTGTCTAATTTATGAAAAGAGCCAAACAGCAGAAGTAACCACTATACAAGGTTAGTTTTCACTCCAGGACTTTTACCGTAGTTGTAATATGGCTTCATTAGCTGTTATTAGGTAAGGGGAGAAATATGTTGTTTCTCTTGCTCATCTCCTACAGTTATAAACAAGTGTTTAGCAGGGATTTATCTGACTCTAAACAACAAAGGAAGCCCACGTGTTCATCCTGCATGGAAAATTTAAGAGAAGATGCATATGTTTTTTCAGTTACTAGAAATGCAGGAATATCTGAGAACTTTTAGGTTGGCACTTTGAGAAATCTTGAGGTGTGAGAGGGCATCGTGTTTGGTAATGAGTTTGGAGGAAAGCCATGCAAATGCTTTGGAGAGTCTTGCATGATTGGAAAAACGTGTGTGACTGACAGTGTGTGTTTTTTCATCTCATCAAATATTTTATTAATGTTACACTTCCTATAAAGCAGGTGGATTTTTAAGTTAGCCCTTCTAATAAGGGGAGTTGTTCTGCCATATGGTGCTGGTTCATTATGATTCCAATAAGAGAGACACTCGGACTCTGTAAAGTTCACTTAAATGCTGTTTATTAGAGCTAACACTTTAAAGGAGAGGTTAGTATAGATAATCTTACATCCCATCAGAATGATGCTGGGAACCCCGAGTTGTGCAGCATTGACTGTGTCTCTGATCTAGGTACATCACACCATGCAGCTCTCATCCATGGAAGGATTACCCTCATTTTGGTCATTCAAACCAATATAGCTGCTTCTTAAAAGAAAACAACTCTCTTCATAATTTTTTCTGTCAGACAGAAAGGAAGTTCTCGTGATAACTCCTTGCTGTGCTTCTAGGTAATCCCAAGGCCACACAAGTGGCGTAATCATCAGTACTGAGTGGGAGCTGCCTGCCGGCTCCTATGTTAAAACCCACCAGCTGAGTTTATCGCGTGGCCATGGGCTATGGGCAACACAAACCAGCCTGAAGACTAGGCTAGACGCATGGCACAGCACAGCACATGGGCTGTTTTGTGGGTCACTGTCTCTGTGGGGCACAGTGGTCTTCTGGTCAGGATCACTACGGAAGTGTCTGAAAACCATCACTTGTCATGTTTGTAATCAAGCACTCAAGACTTTCATTTGTCAATTTAAGCCTAGCAGGCTGCATCAGTTACACACGTGACACATTATTTATTATGTTGGATTAAGTTTAAGAGCTCAACATTACTGACTTTTATGGCTGATTTTTTTTTTTTTTCTTGGAGGCTGAAGATGAATTTGTATACTGGCCAAACAAAGATGAGCCTATAAACTGTGAGAGTTTCAAAGTTACTATGATTGCTGAGGAACACAAGTGTCTGTCTAACGAGGAGAAGCTCATAATCCAAGACTTTATTTTAGAAGCTACACAGGTAACACTGTCATAAACATATAACTCAGGACTTGATTTGTTAAAGGTAATGCTGACATATTGTCACATTTTCTATGGTAAAAGAATGATAAAATTCCATGCACCTGAAACACCCAGGGAGGGAATAACCTCTGTAGTTAATGTAGGGACATGGGGAATAGGGTAATCCAACCTCCATAGCAGAGGGATTCTGTATCTGGAGGCTGGAGCCAGACTGGAACAGGGTGAAGGATAAGAGTAAAGGCCGTCAATCTTTTACCAAATTGATTTATGCTTTTTGTTTTTCACTCTTTTAGGATGACTATGTACTTGAAGTGAGGCATTTTCAGTGTCCAAAATGGCCAAATCCTGATAGTCCTATTAGTAAAACTTTTGAACTGATCAGCATCATCAAAGAGGAAACTTCTAACCGTGATGGACCCACAATTGTACATGACGAGTAAGAACTGCAGCTTTCAGTTTGTTTTGATGTTTTTCCTAGAACCATCCTTTCATCTCATTTTGAGTGAAAGCCGCTGAAACAAGGCACAAAGTCTGCCCCTAACAATAGTGGTGCTGCTTCTGTTTCAGCAGCATCAACGATAAAAACATTTTATTTTGTCTCACTTGAATGTTTTCTTTTCAATTCTATGATTTTGATACTCCAGATGATCGTCAAGTAGGGCACTGGAGAGGAAATCAATCAAGGTCTCATTGCCTATGATTGAAAGAAGTCAGACTATTTAGTTGAGGCACCTTGCCCTTCTCTAGCTCTTTCATAATGGCCAAAAATACTGAAATGTTGAAATACTGAAGGAGCTGAGGCCTTTAGGGTTTGTTTAGTAGAGGACTGTAGGGAAATTTAAAGACTCTTCAGAAGTTGTAGGCAGGTGCTGTGGAGTTGTGTTAAGGCACTGCTGGGCAGGCCTATTCCAGAAAGTATAAAGATCACATGACAGAAAGTAATCCTAGCAGTTTACTCTGGATTTTGTATTTTCTCCAGCTGTTAGAAACTTGATCCTGTTTCAAGAGACTTTTGCTTTGCTTTGTTCTTTACTTCACAAAGGCATGGAGGGGTGACAGCAGGCACTTTCTGTGCATTAACAACACTGATGCATCAACTGGAAAATGAGAACTCAGTGGATGTTTACCAGGTAGCAAAGATGATAAATTTGATGAGGCCCGGAGTCTTTACAGACATTGTAAGTAATAAGCAAAATGTGTGCATATTTTTGTTCCTGTGTGGTGTTATTAGACTGCTTAGATCTTAGGACAACATAACAGAACAATTGGCATCTTAGTTTCTGCGTGAGTTAATCAAAACTGTCTTCCAGAGGTGCTGTAGGGGACCTGCTGCCAAAACAAAGTATTCCCTGTAAAAAAAAGTGTTATGTGGTCATAAAGCAGTCATATTCAAAATGTGCAGAGCTGTCACAATCATCATAAAGTCTGCATTATGTCATGTAAATGAAAGTTTTCGTTCAGCAGAAATAAATCTGTAGTCCAAGTAGACTCTGAAATAGTTACCCTAGTTTTCAGTTTCATGATGGACCTTGATCTTTTATGATCTGTTGAATGGTCACTTGGCACCATTATCTCTGTGCTTACAGAAAGCAAAACCATGAAAAGCATGACAAATAAAATTAGGTTCTAAGTGTCATACAAATGAAAATTCATCACAAAAATTAAAAACTACAAACCTTTGCTGATACCACTGCAAATCTGACTGCTATAGAGCTGCAATGGATGCAATAAGAACACTTTAAGAGAAACAGCCTCCACTTGCCTACACTCCCCAGATGATGCTCTGCACAGAGCATCCAGATGTTCCCCCTTCCCACCTGCAGTCCATCTGGCTCCAGCACTCCCCATTTCCCAGTGTACCCAACTGACACCCCTCACTTCCTCAAGGCAGTGGCCTCCACAGTGAATCTTCCCACAAAGTCTTGTCTCTTCCTATGCTTGGCAGCATCTTCAGCAACATAAATGGCAACTGCAAGCACCAAAAAAAAAAAAAAAATCTGCCTGGATAGAATGCAGGGGACAAAACTGAGAGCACATTCAAGGGAAAAAAAAAAAAAAGCCAACAGACAACTAGTAGCCCTAATCCTGACCCTGTTCAATCAATGGGAACTTTATTATTTCTTTAAAAATACAGTTTTCTCCCCCAGCCGTACTGTGTTTAATTTTGTGCTTTACATTGTGCATAGGGGGAGCCATTAGTCAGAAAATTCATAAAGCTGCTAAGTAACACAATAAATTGGGGAGCACAGTATATTAACAGACTGACACATCAGCTGTTAATTAATTTTCAGTAACAGTGTTGCGAGATAACCTAACATTATTATTTCTGATAACACACTGACTACATCCTCTTTCCTCCCCCAGGAACAGTACCAGTTTCTGTACAAAGCTATTCTCAGCCTCGTCAGCTCAAGGCAAGAAGAAAACCCTTCAGCATCTATGGACAGTAATGGCTCAGCTTTACCCGATGGAAACGTGGCTGAAAGTTTAGAATCCTTAGTTTAACTAACACATTGAATTAAACACACACACAAACCTACATCAGCACCTGGAGTTTACCATTAATATTTTCAGTTTTATACTTGGGGGGAGGGGGGAATCTGTCCAGCCACTATATATATAATCAGATCCAACCGTTGCTCAAACGTCATTTCTGTTACATAGGACTTCACTGCGGAACTTTTATCATTAACAATGTGTGCCTTTTCTAGAAAGATTTCTTGTAATACGTTGTTACGTCTGGACTAACTTGATTGACTTTTACAGTGTTTCTAAGAATTGAATTGTGGTATGTTTTTTCAGTATTAGTTTTTGGCTTTACTTTTAACTTAAAATTATCATATTTATAGATGTTAGGGGACTCTCAATTACAAACAAACATGTCATGGTTTTAGTATTTGATTTATCTGCTGTATTTATAACAATTTACATTTGCTAGAAATATAACTTTTAATATAGTAGAATGTAAATAAGGTACGGTTCTCCATAACATCCAACCTTTTAAGACTTCAATTAGACATTTAGAATAGTAATCTGATACTTACTGTAAATACTGTTACTTCTGTAGTGATTCCATGGACCAAATTTATATTTATAATTGTAGATTTTTATATTTTACTACAGAGTCAGTTTTCTAGTTCTGTGTAATTGCCTTGTTAAAATGATGTAGTCCGGTATGGTTTTATTTTAACAAAGTCTTCTGATATATAATTGTGCATCTTAAGCAATTAACCTTCATATATCTGCATGTGATTTTAACTTTTTGTGGGAAATAGAAATCATTTGTTTTGAAATGATAAGTTTTTATGAGAATAACACCTGTACTTGGCATTGTTAAATTGTTTTTACCTATGGCATTGCAAAAATAAATATAAATATTCCAGTCTGTGCTTAGCGCTCTACCACATACAGGAAACAGTCTCCACTGTTACATGAGAGAGTTTGTACTTCCAAACATAAGGACTCGAGGCTGGCCTGGAGGTGGCTGCTTTTCCTGTGGAATCTGCGAGTTCAGAAGAGATGTTTAAAAAAACATTACGTTTTGTTATTGAATCCCTACTCCATGTCCTCCCATACCCATAGAGTCCAGGCTAGCTGCCGGTGCGGCCTCTCCCGGCCTGATCACCCACAGGCTAACGGGCTGTCCTGGGTCTCCACATTGCCTTCACTGCCCTCTTGCACGACTTTTCCATCCTGGTTTGGCTTCCGGTGATTCCTTCAGGTCCTGAGCTCTTTGCTGCCTCCTTGGCAAAGCAAAACCAAACTCTGGGAAGCAGTAAAGCTGGTAAGCTCTGCAAGAACAAAAGCAAAATGTTTAACTTGGCCACTCAGTTATTTTCTGTAACCTTCTGAATGGCAAGAAAAGGTGCTGATTGTACTGAAGGTTGCCGCACTGAGGAGGGTGAAGACTGGAGCAGGCGAGATCTCAGTTTAACACTGGCCCTGAGACGAACTGTTTTCTCACTTTGGTACATTCAGTTGCTACGTAGAAATACTGAGAGCAGAGATACAGTTCTGGACCAGAATTCCAAAGAAACTAATGGACAGTATCTTAGATGAAAAATAAGGAATAGGAGAAGTCAGGCCTGATGTGGACTTGGAGTTTTAGTTGATGATGTCCTGAGGCAAGGGTGTGTGAGGGATCTCAGAGTGTCAGCAGATAGATCTAGACCCCCTTCAGCCATGTGGGATTGAGGATAGATGGAGCTGCCAACAAAGCCAGCACAAATTTGGGTTTAAAGGAATCTTAACAGTGGAAACTTTAAAAAATCCTCATACTGTTGATACACAAAATGATTGTGAAGGTGCTAGACCAAGAGACAGAATAGCTAACAGTGAAGCACTTTTTCCTGCTCTTGTTCTCTTTAAAAAAGAAAAAAAACATACAAAATAATCAAAACAATGTAATGCACAGTTTGTTTTGTAAAGCTGTGTTAATGCGCTTGAATTCTCTTCTACACGTGAGCACTTCTCTCTATAGCCACAGCAATGCAGTCCCAGGCATTATGGAGTAGCTGAACCCAGGGGGCTTGTGGCCCCAGGGGCTTCCCCCTTCCTGTCCACCAAATGTAGGACGATTCTCCTGTCTCAGCCCAATCCTTCTTTGCAGGTCCAGCCAGGGACCACGCAGGGCACATACTGCACACAGGGAGATAATACACAAGCACACACACCTGGAGAGTGGTAGAAACAGGATTCATCACACAGAAAATAGGACTAGGATTTAAAAGGAAGGCAGGAGAGGGGGCAGTGATGAAGTGCAGGGCACAGACAGGGGAGGACACCACCTAACACTCTGCCTACATGCATGCATCCCCTTTGACTCCATTTTCACTGGCTTATTTTCGCCCCCTCCACCCTGATCCCTCTGTTTCTCCCCCCAGTCTCCCTGGCTCTTTGTAGATAAACAACTTAATTACCTTTTCTTCATGGGCCCCAGTTTTGTGACATCCATCCTCAAATGTGAAACTTGCGATGCTGACACTTAGCTCATCCGAGCCGTACCTGGCATTACCAACACGGGTACCTTGGTATTTCTGGCCTGGCGAGCTTTTCTTTCCAGAGGGTCTCCACCAGTTAGGCCTTCCCTCCTGTACCTCCTCACAAACTGCCTGGGAAGTGCAGCCAGGCTTCGTGGCACTGTTGGTCACATCTGTCAGCTGCTCACTCTCTCATCCTCAGCAGCTTTCCCTCTCCTGCCCAGCAGTTTCTCAGGATCTGTGCAGGCGGCTCAGCCTCGGGCCTGGTGCCCACCATGGCACCAGCAGGTACTAGTGCTTGCCTCTTTAGTTCACAGCTATCACTAGTTGACTGAATAATTCAGAAATGAGGGAACCTGCTTTTCTGAGCCAAGACACCTTTGTGCAGGTTTTTACACATTTCATTTTTTCCCAGTGGCCCTTGTCACAGCTGCATATTTGGTAATTCTGAAATCCAAGAAGAATGGGACTGAGATATGGCTTCCAAGTGCAAGTGAACTTACACAGTAACCCTAGCCAAGTTAACCACCTTTGAAAAATAGGATCTAGGGTTTTCTTATTACTGTATTTCTGTTATTTTGGGGGTGATGAGAGTTACACATGTACAGAACGGGCTCCTTGTCCCAAGCGAGGTGTGCTGTTATATAAGCTGTGTTTTCTTCACAGCTTGCAGGCACAAAGTTGGTGCACATGAAGGGGTGTAACGACTGCGCTCTGAGGAAGGGAATGTCTTCTTTTCCCAGGTGGCCTGGGGGTTCCTTACTACTCCCTCAAAACCAGTCTGACTGACACCTTGCACTGGCACATCTGGCGAACGAGGACAATGGTATTATATAATTCCGCCCTCTCATTCCAAAAACATAGACACAATTTTTCCTTTCTGAATCTCGAGGGGTGCCCATGCAAGAGAGGTTAATTGTGATCTTATGGCCGTTTGCAAACCACATTCCATAAGCTTCTTACCGTATACTTCCGCTCTTCACCACATCAGCGTACAGCCTAAGAAACAGTAATGCTCACGTGCTACTGCTCCAGCCTCTTCTTGAGGAAAACTGGCTTGTAGCCTCGTGTGACTTCCCACATTTCAACTTGGTATCTTCTACTGATGGATTTACAGCGGTATATACAATGTATTTTTTATGCCCATTAATTCTGCTTTTCAACCCCCTATGGACCGAAAGCACAAAAGGAATCCCGCCCCCTCCTAAAACCCCATCTTGATATAACTGTTCCTTGCAACCTAAAATGTTTTGCAGACATTTAAAAATGATAATCCAAAGAATCAGCTGTCGTGCAAGGTTTCTTCCAGAGATGTTTGTAATCACATTCATCATCTTAGCATGCTGACAAGTTATTTAAAACATAAGTGCTTAGGATAATCTCTTTACTCACACATATTGGTTCTGATCTAGAACAAAAATAAGAATCATAAAAAAATCTTCTATAATCTTCAACCGTGATGGATTACAGATTTTAATAAATGCGTGTCAGTTCCTCTCTCAGACAAAGGCCATATTCTAATTAATTTTTTTCTTGTAATCCAAGCTACAGACTCAAAAGACATATAGCCTTCCTTTTCAAACTGGGTCAAGTGTGGAAAAGATGTTATGTATCTCCTGCAAGAAGTAGGATATTAATAAACAATGTCAGTTTAAAATTAGGTTTTTTTTACAAAGCTGTGTCATGTGTTCCAAGGAAAGCTTGATTAGTGAGCTTCCTCCTAAGAAATCATAGGTGAGTAGGGAGTAAATTACTTGTTGTTTTTGTTTTAACTAACTTTTTAGTGATTGTGTTGGTGAGATTTCATACCTACGGCAAAGCTTTGCAGAAGTCAGCAATTATTGTGAGTGGAAGGCATACCAACTCACACCTATTAGCACAACAGTGTGTCAGTCACGGACCTTAGCACGGACTTTGAAAGCCAGCTGACTAAACTAGTTAGCAGTGGTTTATCACAGCAATTTACCTGGCACAGTTCATCACGACGTCCTTGCACGACCTTGCTGTTTCAGATGGGTCGATGTTTTCTGTGGTGAACGCTTACTTCAAGATGAGTTTAGCAATGTTAAACATTCTCTAATCATTCTGGAGCATGAGCAAAGCAGGGCTGGGAAGGAGAGGAGCCATGCTGTCCTGCTGGGATTAAAATTAGAAATGAGGGCCCACCTCCCACCCTAAGTCTGAGGTGTCCTAGGTCACCATCTCGGTTTTCACTGCTTCCCTGCAGCAAAGCCAAGGTCTGACCATCCACTTCTGTTTCACAGGTTTGTGCTTTGGTGGATTAGGGACATTACTTTCAAAGGGGCAAGAGGGAAGAGAAGTCTCTCAGAGCATTCAGCCACATTTCTCCCAATTCTCCTCTGTTTCCAATTACATTCTTTAATTTTTAGAGAAGAAAAAACCCTTACTGAACTCATTTCCTTGTTCTAGCGAAGCCACACCCTGTGACCCAACAGTCACAGTGTGTTTGAGATGGTCTGATTTGCCTTGATAAATTCTACTGGACACTCAAAGCTGGAGTTCTTTTTTCTCCCCCTCCTCATCAGTTTTCCAGCCTAATCACAATGACTTCACCCCAGATTTTTTCCCCCTTAAACAGCCATTGTGCTGTTAGCACATGCCCTTTGGCAGTCACACCTTGGTGCTCCAGTCCCTAAAAAGGGATGTAATTCTCATCTACAGGAATATCCGGGGCAGAGGGAATGTGGAACACGGAGGCACAGAAGGCAGTCTGAGTGTGATGCAGCTTGAGCACCTCCACCTCAGAAAGAAACTGGGATCTTACCTGTCATGGAGAGCTGGCACTAGAATAAAATCCAAAATGAAAAAATGAGAGAGCCACAGTGACAAGCAATCTGTTCCTTGCAGCCTGATGTGAACAAACACAGAGCCTTCCAGCCGAGGCAGTGCCAGCAGAAACCACGTATTCAGCCGAGCAAGGCCCTCGAGCTGAGGGAGGCAGTGAGACACCAAGCTTTCCTTCCTTCCTGGGGTACAGGAAGACGTTACACATCTACTGTGGCTTTCCACTGAAGCAGCTGTCCTTGTGCCCAAGCACAAAATGTGCTGAAACAATTGCATCCCTTAAGCCTACAGCTGAAGGCAATGCCTAGGTACAGAGAGATACGTATATAAATACATAACTGGCGTTAGGTGCGGGTGCTTAAACGACCCTTGAAGGGTCTTCTGAGTCTAGCAGGAAGTATGGCAAGGTATTCCATGTACGCAGAGAAGTCCATGTGCAGAAACCCTTTCAATATAACATCCTATCTAAAAATCCAAATCCCATTCATACATTAGACTGTAAAGACGACATCACAACGAAGCACAGGTTTTCAGATTTATTTTTCGAGCAATCTTGTGTATAAGATACAATTATCTTTCCAATAATAGGCAAAGAGAACTG